CCAACATACAAACATAACTAAATATCTCTGAAGTTCACATGACATTACAAGTTTTGAAAATAAAACAAGAGTGAGAAACATTTTTAAACTTCAAACTGCCATATCTCGAAATTGACTGGATGTACATTAGATTCTTTTTGTTTAAGAGGGAGCAGAGGAAAAATTCCTAATCTTCGATTTGATTTTAGAGGGGTATATCCACTTTAAAGTTAAAAATAAAATATTGTATGAGTAACTACACGATATATTCAAGCATCGACACTAATCAGAAACATAAAACAATAAAGTTTCCTCGATAAGCTATACAATAAGCTGCCTAATTATATACTTGAGACTTACGACAATGCCAATTTTAAAAAGCAATTATTTAATTTATTGACTGGGAAAGCATATTATAAAGTCAGCAATTACTTAAATGACAAGAACATAGAATAATAGTTAACCACCACCAAATAATGACATAAATATAATTAAGAATTTAAATTAAAATTAAGATTTGACATTTTGTAATTAAAATGTAGTAGTATACTGTTAAATTAATTTAATTATGTAAATTGTATGCCGTAAAATTGGCAATACGTACTGACACAACAATGTTAAATAAGACCTTATAGACATGCGTACACAATAAATGATTTGATTTGATTTGATAGATAAAAATCACAAAATGACCTCTAATTTTCACATTTTTTCGATTCATCCTCGAAATGCTACAGGTTATTAGGACAAAAATTAGATAATTAATTATATTTATGCACGATCGAGATCTGTCACTACGGATTTTTTTTAATCCCTTTAGTTTTAGAGTTATTCCGCTAAAACGAATTTGGTACTTTTAATGCGCAAAATTCATCTGTCGCATGACATGAGAATTTCAGGCATATATTTGTTTCACAAATTTGGGCGGAGCCAACGTCAAAACTTTTTTGGCATGCTCCCTCTTAACCACGTCAAATTATGAGCTTACGAAATTTTTATTTTTTTTAATTTTTTGATAAATTTTATGAGACAGGACTGATAATTCGTGCGCCTTATGGTAATTTACACGCCTGCCCATAACAGTTGCTTTGCCACTCAGAATTTTAAATCGCAAAAATTTGAAGGGCACTGCCACTGCGCCCGCCACTCTGAGACATAAGTTGACAAGTCTCATGTGCCTCTAATTTCACCAGGAATATATTTTTCCAATTTTTCGGGAAATTACCCAACAGTAGGTGCAACCCATACCCTGGCGCCCTCTATTAGATACACGATTAACTTACAGTTATATTTTCCTCAGTGATCGGAAATTCGAGTGCAAATGGTGTAATTATAAATGATGTTAGTAAACAACAGCCTGTTTACTTCGTTTGCGCTGGAGGAACACAGTGTAGCGGACTATATCAATGGGTTCAAGTGGGTGCTAACAGAGTGAGCAAGATCAAAGCAAATGTGTTTAGAGCTTATTAATTTAGTTACTACAAAAACACGTACAGCTATCATTCCAAAATAGAAAACAATAGTAAAGAAAAGGCGCCAAAACAATCACATTGAAATTTAGTATTAAAAAATAATACAAACTTAATAGGATTATAAAATATATATAAATAGATTGTACAACAAGTCCATAAAACGCGTCATTTTACCCGAGCCGCAGGCGAGGTAAGACACTTAAGTCGAGGGTAATATGGGTTTTATGAACGAGATATACAGTCTGGTTTTCACTTCGATTGCGAGGAAATTAAACAGCAATATTGCAAATAAACGATTATTTAATTAAAATTCAATGTAAAATTACAACAATCCCGCCTATGTACTACTTTTTTTCTACACGTGACTTAGGTCGGACTACATAATGCTCAGTTATACTTTACAAGTTTTTGTTTTTTATGCATGTCTATTTCTTATAACTTATTTGAATTACTATTGCCTACTTTTTTAATTTTGTAATATACACACGGATTAAAAAAATAAAAATAAAACTTTTCATAAAGTTCTAGTGTGCGTGGCTGTTGGCGCAGCGTCATTTTTATGCACTAGAGCATAAAATCCTGTTTTATGCAGTCTACAACCAGCATAAATACGAACTTTAAGAGCATGAGAAGTGAAAAAGAGATTTGTAGCGACTCCAGCGATTCGCTACATGCGCCCCTAAAATCCTGCACCCATGTGCGCCGCACACCTTGCACCAGCTACAAAGCCAGCACTGACCATTGTCACAGTATGTCCACAAAATTCGTATCTTCTAAGAAAATATACATGTATATTTAAAAAGCCAACGATGTGTATTAAATACTAGTCTGTAGAAAGCCACAAAAGTACTAATATTAGGGGTTAAAGTATGAAATTGCCGTTTTATTGCAATAGGTTCTTTGAATTTTCATAGAATCTTCATGGTTTGAGGTTTTCGAATGAAACTTTTTTCAAATGGTTTCTGTGATTTTTTTTTTAAATTTGAAACATTTGAATATCGACTTTCAATTGTTTTTGTTATTCAATTTAGACAAGAAAGATGGATACTGCGAAAATTCGAGTGATTTTTGAATACGAGTTCCGACGCGGAACTAACGCGGCAGAAACAGCCCGCAATATCAATGCTGCGTTTGGAGAGGGGTCTACTAATGAACGCACCGTGCGATTTTGGTTTAAACGCTTTCGTGATGGAAATTTCGACTTAAAGAACGAGGCACGAGGAAGACCGCCCACACAGGTGAATAACGATGAATTAAGAGAGATAGTGGAAGCCGATCCTAGTCAAACTACCCAGGAATTAGCGGCATGGTTTAACGTTACCTTACCCACAATATTGACTCACTTGCGTCAAATCAATAAAATAAAAAAATACGAAAAATGGGTGCCTCATGATTTGACTGATCTGCAGAAAGAAACGCGTGTTGAAACTTGTGTTGCCTTGTTGAACCGGTACAGAAATGAAGGAATATTGGATCGAATTGTAACATGTGATGAAAAGTGGATTCTTTATGATAACCGGAAAAGAAAAATGCAATGGCTGACCCCAGGTCAAATGCCACAACAGTGTCCTAAAGCAAAACTTACCAATAAAAAGGTAATGGTAACTGTTTGGTGGTCTCAGCATGGTGTTATTCACTATAGTTTTCTCCGATCTGGTCAAGCAATAACGGCAGATGTCTATTGTGCCGAACTCCGAACCATGTTGACAAAACTAGCAGTAAAACAGCCCCGACTCATGAATCGATCTTCACCATTATTGCTCCACGACAACGCGAGACCTCACACAGCACGAGAAACCATTTTGACCCTTCAGGAACTGCAGTTAGAAACCATTCGTCATCCTCCGTATTCACCAGACCTTGCTCCAACGGACTACCATTTTTTTCGTGATTTGGACAATTATCTACGTGACAAGAAGTTTTCTTCCCAGGAGGCAGTACAAAATGCTTTCACACAGTTTGTGCAGTCTAGATCGTCGGAGTTCTATCGCAAAGGCATTAATAACCTTCCCATTAGATGGCAGCAATGTATAGATAATAATGGCAACTATTTTGATTAAATGAATTTGTTAAAAATTTAAAAAATAAACAATTTAGATTTTCAGTACAAATCGGCAATTTCATACTTTAACCCCTATTATTTAAATAGTGTTCCTATGACGGCTAACAGAAAAAGTTGTTTGAAAGTTACGTGTGCAGACATATGTATAATAAAATTTAATTTAAGATTATTTAAAACGGTTTTGCAACTTAATATCAGCTATAAGTAAATAATCGTATTATTATTTGGTTGTGTAAGGGGGTTCCATTTCGTACTTGTTTCGATGCTTTTTGGTATCGAGTACTCTTCCCTCCGATACCGATACTCTTGTACTCGATACTTTTCAGGTATTAGTACTTTTGATAAATATCGTATCGTTTCGGATAATTCTTACTTAGGACACCTCATATCACAACGCAAGCCACCTAGCGATTTTTTTAATGGCACCTTTTATCACAAATTACTTGGCTGTTTATTGTATAATTGTATGCCACCATTTGCCTCTTTAAAAGAAGTTTGTCCCTTATCGAGTTCTTAGGTTTTCGCGATTATTACACATAGGAAATGAAACTATTTTTCCGGATTTAAATCGCGTATATTTGTTTTTTCAAACATACCAACGTTTCCGGCCCTTTACAGGTCCCATGGTCACGGTTGACTGTGTCATGGGACCTGTGATCTGTAAAGGGCCCGAAACGTTTGGTTTGTTTGAAAAAACAAATATACGCGATATAAATCCGGAAAAATAGTTTGTCACTTCTTGAGAATGTTTGTTCTCAAAATCAGGCAATACAGTATCAAAAACGAGAAATAAACCGTCACCCAATAGATTTTTGTTTTTAAGTGATTATATAGAGGAGGAGTGGAAAATCGGAAATTGAAGTAAAACAACTTATCTGAAATGACGATTGATTGAATTAATCAAATTCTTTTATTATTTGTTTCAATTAAAAATCATAAATAAATAAAAAAAAAGACAAAATCAAGTGTTTCATTTTGCCTTTAAGTAGGGAAAATCTGCAGGACAAAAGTATCGATACCTTGAGGTACCGGATATTTTTGTTTGGATGCTTTTATGCGATACTACTCATGAGTACAGTATCGATATTGTGTCCCTACGTATTTGATGACGTCACCAAAATGAGTAAAAACTTTCCAAGGTGCCAAGTTAATTCTAACCGGGGTGGGCGGTACTACAAGTATAAATAAGTATCTATCAGATAGGTCCAGGTAGTCGTTCCCACAAGGACTCAACTCCAAGAAACTTATCGACAGTACTAATGTTTCTCATAAGGTAAAAAGGGTCAATCTAGCGAATTTTTTCCTATTAATGCTGGTCTCTCTCTATCTTTAATTCAATGAGTCGCCTTCTAGCTATTATAATGCGATCTGTTTTCTGTATAAAATATATATAATAAACATAAACATCAAAGATGAGTTTAAATCATGGAAGAGTGCGTTGGTTTACGTACAAAAAAAAAAACAAAAACGAAATGAAAAAAGATTGCGCCAATTTATTTACAATGCACTTAAAAATAAATTATGTTCATTACATAATACTAGAGTAAATCGAACCTAATATTTACAAAAGTAGCTGTAAGATACCACAAACTAATATAACAATAAAGCTGCTCTTTACTAGGAAGCTAGAGTCGGGACAATCTTCGTCCTGGAAGACATCTTCGAAGTATCGTTGGTCCAATTCTCGTCGGGTAGCCATGTATTGGTTTATTGCTGTAGTGCCGGCAGCTGGCATGGTTCTTGTTCGACTCAGTTTCCACACATAAACTGAGAAAAAGAGTTCAAAGTCAAGTAAAAAACTGCGCTGACTTCCCTGAGAAGAACGAGCAAGAAATTCTAGGGATTGCTTTTTTCTAAATAAACTTAAATGCTATGGAATACACTTTGAATCAAATTTGTGAGAAATCTAGAGCCATATCGTCCACGTGTTTAACACGTAGTAAGTTTAAAAATTAGGAAATGTTAATCTTAATCTAGGGAATGTTATTGATAATAAAATAATATTACTAGGTACCCAAGCTAATCATATATACATATATGTGCCGATATGTGAAATTTAAAAAAAATCAACTGACGTCACGAACATCATGTTCACCATGATGTGGCACAGATTGGCAATTAATCTGTAGTGTGACGGTGAAAGGTACAAAATAAAAAACAAACATTGAAAATCTTCAAAGAACCTTCAGTTATCGTGGTAATTAGCAACTTGCACAGCCATTACCTAGACTCATATTGCAGACAAGTGGCCTATCTATAAAATGTATTTTATCGATTACGAAAAAATAATGACGATGATAGATAGACAGATGTGGATACGTACTGCGTTGTTCGAAGTCGTTCACGTTGTGGCAGGTAAATGCAAGTGAATACGAGGCATAGTCTGTTGCTAATACGTAGAGAGACGAAGAGACCGTGCCTGGAAAGTAAAATTAATATTGGAGACTTTTATTAAGTTGATTGAAAGAAGAATAGAGAAAGTTTGTTATAATTATTAATATAAAGATCGAGCACAAAGAAAAAAATCATCCGACCCGGCTCGACTCGAATCAACGAACGCCTTCACCAATCACTATAGCTGACGCTTTCCCAATTAAGCCACGAAACGAACGCGTCAAACTAATACACTGTAATATGAAGCAGCGTTTTTATAAAAGGCTACAATAAAAATTATTCAGTATTTTGCAGTTTTTCAGGGGGCCTACCACAACCTCTTAAAACAATATTACTTTAACCTTACATTGACTTTTCGTACCACGACGCGCTTAAAGTAGGCTTATTACAATGTTAAAACTATAATGTTTTATTGGCAGCTTTGTGACTATTGAATAGTCAGTTCGTATGATATGATGCGACTTTAATATTAAAATAATATTGTCCTTATGTCAAATTTAGCAATCTTAAAATTGAAAATGAACTATCGCGCATTTAAGCTTCCGCGCAACTGGCCATTCGCGCAAACGAACTATCGCGCATTTAAGCTTTCGCGCAATTGTCTTCGCACTATCGTCATTCGCGTAATCGGCATTCGCATTCACGTAGTACACCCATAGTAAAATTATACATCCATTTTTTTTTTAATTAGCTCCTTCAACGTAGATATGAATTAATACGAAACTTGATAAGCGGACAAACGTTAAAACGGCCATCACAGCGTGCCGGTACTTCAATTTTCGTTAAAATATATATTTTACTAAATAACATTTCCTTACCGTTATCATCAGGTATCCTTGAAGGTAGTTCTACAATAAGTTTTGCCTCGTTGTTCTCCGATGGTATCGCAGTTGCGTGCCCTCTAATCACATCCAGTTCACCATCGACAACTTGCCAGTTGACTACGTCTATCCTGTCCTCTGCGTTGTTCACTGTGTACCGCGCACCTGTGCAATTACCTGTCTCCCATTGTTGGGGGTATCTTTCCGTTTGATACCAAGTTCCGCTATACTGTTGGGTAAAAAAATAAATTTAAAATAAGGAGCAAAGTCTAGTCTCCCATTAATTTTTTTTTCTTCAGCCCTTACATCGTCAACTTGAAAATCTGTCACAACAGGGATATTATTATCGCACTGTCCTCTAAGAGTAACAGATCGCCCGTCTGCAGGGGGGTAGTAGAAGCAAGCTTCCTCGCTCTGATCGGCCTTCAGGTAAAATTGTGGGTACAGGACTGGGTTCGCTGCGATAATTGGCGCCAACGAGTTTTGTGCTTCTTCAGTTAGTTGCTGAGTTCTGCTATGTTTTGCACTCCACACTGAAAAAAATAAGGGGTTCTATAATTTTGTTTTTCCTCTATAATTTTCTTCTATAGTTTTTCTTCTATAATTTTGACTCTCCCGCTCAAAGCGCGACGCATGGCCACGTTAGTCAACCCTATAATAAAGTCTTAGGAAACATAGATCTGTCATTACCAATTTCCCATCAACTTTAAGATTTTTAAAATCACGTTTGGGCTTTATGCTATGAACTTTATATTAAAACTCGTTAAATCAAACTCATTTCTGCACAATCAAAGAAAGAAGTATTTAGTCACTAATAGTCAATTTTATTAAAAAAGAAAAAATACGTAAAAATACAAATAGCTGCTGTGTGAAACAAAAAATGTACCCAATTGTTCAATGATGGATGGGTACTTGGTTTCGAAATGCTTTCTAAATTGTACTGTCCATCTTTAAAATCAGGGTAAACTCTTCACAAAATCACTTACCACGTCTGTGTTCTGAATCTATATTTTCACAATAATACAGAAGAGCATAGTTCTCATAGTCAGTTGCGAGAACGATCCAGGTTTCTGAAAGAAAATAATCATTATTGTCAGGATTTTATTTATTTATTTTATTATTTTTATGAACTTAGAAAATAAAAGTGATTTTCGTGAATGAAACTATTTTTTCGACTCTAAAAATTTGAATCGCGTATATTTATTATTTTTTACTAAGGAAATAATAGAAATAATTAAAATCTATACCGTCAACATCATTAGATGTTCGTATCAGTTGTCCATTCGTCGTAGCAGTAACAGCATAAGTGTTGAGCTCAGCGTCCAGACCTTTCACAACGGTGTCGACAACTTGGAACTGGGACCCGGATCCAGTGTAACGAGAGTTGCGGCACGTCCCATCTTCCTCAGTTGGGTAGCTTTCGATTTCATGCCACCAGCCCACGAACTGTGTGTGAGATATTATAATTAGTGATCGGATAATCGGGCGCTTATTTACGTAAACATCGTCTTTTGTCTTCACGACATAATAATACTGATATGCCTTTCTCAAATATGTAAATCAATTTAGTCAAAGCCATGGTTGTTAGATTGAGTAATTACTATTATTTGCTAAATAACTACAAAGCAATATTTTATATTGAATTATTGAGGTTTTCGCGATTGTTAGACATAGGAAATGAAACTATTTTTCCGGATTTAAATCCCGTATATTTGTTTTTTCAAACAAACCAACGTTTCGGGCCCTTTACAGTTCCCGTAGTCACGGTTGACATCGACAACATTTTAATAATTGTTTAGTAAGGGATACGGAAAAAATGTACATCCAATGTACCTAAACGGCCGAAACGCGTGAAGTGATTTGAAAAGAAAGGGGAGGATTAGTTAAGAGATGATCAGGAGGCTGAGGTAGCGGGTCGTATAAATACTTTTATGATATACGATATATGATAACGTATGTTTGTTTACTGAGGCTAACAGTTTAGAATCAATGCATGTATCATCTTAAAAGTGAGTTTGTATACATTCTTGTGTTCAATGAAAAAACATTCCAAGTGCCATGAAATTTTGGTTGAATTTGGTTTAGAATATTATTTTACAATAGCAGGGCTAAAGTCATAGAAATTCATTCATATTATTTCATCGGGGGCGGTAAAAATCGGGATGTTTAGGTAAATAAGCGCCCGACTATCCGATCACTGATTATAATCAACTAAATACATTCACTAATCCTCTGATAGTTAGTTTGACTTTTCCGCTGCATAATTGGTATGGCGTTTCTTACCTGCTCCATAACAAATCCTTGCACACCGGCGACATTTTCATCACACTGTCCTCTGAAGATCATAGGTTGTGTTTCATCGAGCTCAGGTACATAGAAGCAGTCTTCATCCGTTTGACTGGTCTTTATGTAGTATCTCTGTATAAGGCCTTGTGTATTTGCTATGACGTCATCCATTGCTGTATTCGATGCATTACTGAGTTCTCGGGTTCTGCTGAGTTTCCAACTTGACACTGTAAACACACAAAGATCATGTAATATCATGAATAATTGGTCTTAACACAAAGACCGAAACGCTAAATGAAAATTCTCTGATTCGGCTGGATTCGAACCAGAGTCTTTTAGCAATACGTGTTAGACGCTATGCCAACTAAGCCACGGAACAAACCAGCAGATCTTGTGAATTTTTCTATGTGCTTGTTTTTGTTTTTAACCGATTTAAAAAAAAGGTGGAGGGTCTCAATTCGACTGTATGTTTTTTTCTTATATGTATGTTACGCGATAACGGGTACCTCCATAGCGGTCCCATTTAATTTTGAAGAAAATTATTCACCTCTAAGGGTGGCTGTTCACGTATGAAGATTAATTTTTATAAATAGCGCCTAAATTTTATTATAAGGAGCAATTATTTTAATGGTTAATTTTGCTATTCTCCAATTCAAAGCGTTTTTCTCTCTCAATATACTTTGAGTAGTGAGAACCGATTTTTATTATCTCCTGTGTTAAGTTCCGTTTAGTGGCGAACTAGAGAAGGAATCCGGGTTTGCGCACTTTCCGGTAACTGATTTCAATAAAACTTGGCATATAGATGTAATTCCACGTACTTTTGAGGTCGGTTTTTTAGTACTCTTTACTGAGATTATTTAACGACTTTTTTGCCGTAGCGCCATATGTGAGAAATCAATTTCTTCGAATATCGTGTCAGCAAAAAATGGTGACATTCAATAAATTGAGTTTAATAAATTACAATTATTAAAATGACATCTCTAATCAGGCGCTGGTAGCGGTAAATTTATCAGGCTAAGTGAAGAAATTAATTTCTCATAGATTTCTCACAAATGGCGCCACCTTGACCATGGTATAATAAGACAAGTACTGTAACTCTCTAAAGTAGTGTTACTTTACATATACCAATCATTATTTTTTATATCAACTGAACTAAATAGAACACGTATATGATATACATTTTTCAATTGGCTTTAATTTGTTTGAGTGTTCATCACACTTGCACGTAAATAGTAGGATTGCATACAGGCTAACTTGATTATAATGCACCAAATAAAACCCTCGGGTTTTTTTCTTCTCATTACAGCCATGGTTTGTAATGAGAAGAAGAACAGCCCCTAGGGTTTTATTTGGGGTATTAAATTATAGTTATTTCAATACAGCACGATAATACAGTGATGAACGCTTTATTCACATAATTACATTAACTATTTTAAAATTACATAGTACAAAACTTGTACTGGACATTTGTCATTTTTTTTCTTTTAATGTAACATTATTTTATTACTATTTGTAACGGTTCTTGTAATAATATATGTATTGTATATTATAATAAAGTAAAGTTTACAAGATAATGAATAAATCTAAACCTATTTTTTTTCAGTCTACGACCCTAGACTCCGAGAGAAGTCTAGGCATTGACGTGTCTTCATTGGGCGGAGGAGGGGCGAAAGTAGCACCATTTGTCTTATGTCACACACCCATTAAATTTAAATGTTCGATAAACTAATTTACACCTTCGTGACAAATATGGAGTTTTTTTTCAGTTTGCGACATTGTAATGGAACGTTTGTTATTTTACTCCAACTGTGTTTTACTCAAACAAATCAGATTTTAGTGACAAGAATAAAAGAAGTTGTATGAAAAGGGTAGTTGATGTATGTGAGGCTAGAAAGTTATGTCAGGATAGAATAAGGTGGCCGTGGTCTCTGCCTACTCCTCCTGCGGGACAAGGAAGTGAGTTTATGTGTATATGTAAATTAAATTTTACGTGTAATGTAATGAAGTTCATATTTGTGTAAATATTGTAATTTCTGTTCTATTTTTATACAAATGTAAGTGTACATTTGACCTCCATCTCACTTGATGGAAAGTGACGATGAGGGCGACGATGGAGTATGGATATGTAAATAACGCCAACTCTCGGCAAGTTCTAACGTTCAGGGAACAAGTGTGCAGGCAGGGAATTCCACTTCATAGCCGTTCGCCATATACATGTGGAAGCGTAACGCTTCGTGCGAATCTTTGGAATATCCACAACATAGGGGTGGAACCCAAGCCTACGCCTAGTCCCCCGGTGATGGAAAGGGGAAGGCGGAATTAAATCGTGTAATTCCATCGCACACTCTCCGTGATATATCCGTGATATATCCTGTAAAATACCGATAAGCAGGCAGCTTTACGGCGGTGTTCTAGGCTCTGCAGCTTCGCCTCTACTGATTACGAGTCACCTATAAGCCTCTTGACTCTTGTTTTCTATTCTGTTTATTGAAATGTCAAAGTAACTTTACCATGACTTTTTTAGTCAGATTAATAGCTAGCGACCATGTAAAAAATATATATTATTGAAAATGTTACTTCTTCTTGGGACCACTAGGGCGCTGTACAATTTGCCACTCTCACAGTAAGCTCAAGGTAGAGGTACAGTATAACTTACCTATACGCTCTTGACGGTCACCATTGTTAACGTCACGACAGCTATAGACTAGAGAATAGTTCTCATAGTCTGTCTGCAACACATAGTAGTTCACTTGTCGGGTTCCTGTAAATGAATATTTCACGTTGAACAATACGGTACAATAATGGAAAAAAAATAAATGTAGGAAATGAATATAAGAAAATACTTTCAGAAGTTCAAAATAAGGTTTTGGGTTTAAGGCGAAGTATTCAACGCGAGCCTAGATTTTAGGAGGTGAGGCGTGCGTCGTCCAATTCGCGCGCTGTAAATTAATACGAATAAACCAAAATAAGAACAGGAAATTTGACTTGGATCAGACGCTGATGACTGATGGGGCAGAAGGCGGAAGCGACGTGGCGTGTCGTTAAACAGGGCAATTTGCAAATTTTGGGATAAAAATGTGAATTCAATAACTTCAGTTGAAAATCAACATTTAGCAGGTCCTCTGTAGTACTTAAAAACAAATATCAACATATAAAAATTATGTACAGTGCTTCTATTTTCGCAATGTCCTTCGGCAAACTTCGTGTTTTAGGCTGTCATCGGGTTTTATTCAGTCGCCCTTTGCCTTTGAACAATACAGTACAATAGTAATGGATAAAAAACGTGTCTAGTTTCAGTCGTCTTGAAGCATATAGATTTGCTATTACATTTTTTATTTATTATCCTATGGGAGAAATGTCGCTGAAGTCACAGGAACGACAGATAATTTACAGCGTGCACTTGTATTTTTGACAAGAAACCGATACGTTCAAGAAAGACAACAATGGTTATTTTCAAAAAGTCTAAAAACTTGTTTCTGTAGCTTGTGGTGTTTCAATCGGAATACTAAAGAATATTTGAAAAGAATATAATAAAAAAGATGAATCAGTACCTTTTCCTTTTTTTTATTTTATTTTTTTTTTGTTTTAGGTACAACTCTATGTAGTTCACACGGAAATCAAAACAAAAGAACAATAAAGTACGTTGTTCAAAATTCAAATTATTATAGATTTTAAGTCTAATAAGTAATGGCCATGGAAATTTGTATTCGTGTGCATTCGGAAATCCGATGGTTGCCGAGAGACACTGAGAAAATGGAAGCACTGTACGAAGTTAGATATTTTATTCGCAATTAATTCGTTTTAGACTTTTAATTTAGCCTATTTTCACGATTTTATATGATCGGATAAAGTACATCGAGAACATTCTTTAGACAATATATCTTAGATGTATCGCATATTTTTGTAAGACCGTTATTTCATAGTAAATTCTTAAATATTTGATCTAACAAAGTAATTATTCCCACTTCTCCTTCGATGACTCGCCTCAAACGACAATTTCGACTCATCCGAAGAACAGAATCCGATATGTGATTATATGGCGAAAAGAGAATAAGTACGTTACGAAAATAATTTCGTTATTCAAACTAAGGCCTACGTTAAGGTGATTTCAGAATTTATATATCTTATTTCATTTCGGAAATATAAAATCGAGCGAAACAGTCAATCTGACATCCACAGCGAAAAAGAACGAACGAAATATACTGTCCTGAGAATAAGTAGTCTTGCACTTACATCTTTGTTCTACGGATGAGTCGATTTGTAGCCCTATAAACATAATATGTCAAAAGGTTTCGGTGCTAGAACAAGCAGTAACCACGTACCTCCACTAACAACGTAATCAACAGTAAACAATCCACTGCCATCGTTAGCAAGGATAGCTGTACCAAACTGGGTCTGTAGAGTCCGATTGACCACCTCATTGTGGTGCACACTTCTTATTCCCTCTTCGTCGCTGTATTCCACTCGATTGCAAGATCCAGTCTGTTCGGGTACCGGGTAACGTTCTATTTCGAACCATCTTCCTACGTACTGTAATTCAAAATAACTATATCAAACCGAAAATCTTTTTGTGTCAGCGTCTCCATCATCATGATGAATGTTTTCTACACGCTCACAGTCCTCCATATCAACCCTGTAAGTCCACCGGAATTTGTGTGAAATAGAAACAGGTTTCGAGTTCTTAGGTTCTCGCGATTGTTACACATAGGAAATAAAACATTTTTTTCGGATCTGAAACGCGTATATTTGTTTTTTCAAACAAGGCAACGTTTTAGGGCATTTACAGGATGATTACTTTACGGGGTTCTTAATTCGATTGTATGTTTCTTTGTTTTTTTTTTGGATGTTACGCGATAACTCATAAAACATTTGTGAACTGATTTTGATGATTCTTTTTTGTTGGAAAGAGGGTACCTCAATATTGGTCCCATTTAATTTTGAAGAAAATATTTCACCACTAAGGGTGGCAAACTAGGGGATAAATAACTTTTGAGGTCGGTTGTTTTAGTACTCTGTACTGTTTTTTCAAAGAACGTTCCAATTCACGCTACATAACCTATTATATAGCGTAAATTGGAATGTTCTTTGAAAAAATATAACAATATAATTTAATAATGAATATTTATTATTCATTCTAAATGATAATTTTAATAATAACAATAATAATAATAACGCACACACTCAACATAGCCCCGCACTAGGCAAACCCTGTGTCGTGGGTGCCATGGACGCACATATACACAACCACAAATTACACCCAAACTCACGAGAGAAATAAATGTAGGCCACACACATATTTCTCCCGATCCGGGAATCGAACCTGGGACCTCTGCGTGGCAGTCCGGCATGGTAATCGTTCGGCCACGCAGGCAGTTAATTAGAATCTATGAATGATTATAAATCTTAGTCACCCGTGACCATGGGACCTGTAAAGGAATCGTTGGTTTGTTTGAGAAAACAAACACGCGTTTTGGATCCGAAAAAATAGCTCCATTACCTAGAGTAAGTTTTGTCTTTTTACTCTCATATTATATATAATATATCTAAATTATTTTGTTATTAAAAAATACACCTCCTATAAAAGACTTTCCAATTCACAAGTTTTAAAAATTCAGGCCGTTCATCTACAAATCCTACCAAAATATTGTACATTGAAGTATGTTATGTAGTGGCGACTCCATAGGCATATGCGTGGATTTATGTTTGAAGCCAATTCGCGACTCCAGGTGGAATTATGGATTGTGCACGTGTTAAAGTGTGGATTTACGCCACAGCCCACAACAATGGCCTCAATCTGGTTGGGAACTTCATACAAGCGATAAAGTTTTCTCTGATATAATGATAATTACCTGATCAAAAATTAGAATACCCAGAACAACCAGAAAAGAACCAGTTTCGAAAAGTTAATTTCTCAAACTGAATCTTCGTGGAATCCAACTCGGTACATTCTCATCTGATACACGCAACTGCCTCCGTGGCCGAACGGTTACCATGCCGGACTGCCACGCAGAGGTCCCAGGTTCGATTCCCGGGTCGGGAGAAATATTTGTATGGCCTACATTCATTTCTCTCGTGAGTTTGGGTGTAATTTGTGGTTGTCTATGTGTGTGTCCATGGCACCCGCGACCCAGGGTTTCCCTAGTGCGGGGCTATGTTGAGTGTGTACAGTGATAATTAATAAGCTACTGAGGTCTTCATATTATATAGGAGATAATAGGTAATATGTAGGTTTCACCTCTACGTATTCCATCACCGTTATAGGGGCCCTACTCTCGGAACACGAAGTGGTTCCCACTATGGCTGGTCTACGGGACTACCCTCGAAGTCCGTCAACGAAAAGATGGTCCCGTTCGAAGCTATCAAATCGTGTTGTTATACATTCTTAGTTCGAGCCCCCGGTTGAAACTCAATTCTGTAAATCAGCCATAGTGGGAAAACGGCCGTAATTACCGGTTTAAAATTCAAATAAATAGATTTCAATAGATCGCTTTAAATTAATTCTGCTCAGGACGGGGGTGGGAGCCGTCACGGAGGACGCTTGCACGTTTGAACATATTCTACCAAATACAGCTTTAAAAAGTGTCAGATAGTATACAACAAAAACTTAAAATTTTATTTTTAGTAAATTTATCATGTTTTGTAAAAAGTCATGGAACAAAAGTTGTTGTTTATGATGTTAGTAATATAGTATTTAGATACAAAAAAATCTAAATTCAATAATTGTAGACTATTCGAGCGCTGGACACATGGCGACTTTTAGCAGTGATGCAGAGGCTAATCGTCTACGTTTACGCACGCGCGCGATTTTAAGCAGCGATTGTATCGCTACACTTGGGATTTATAGGCGAT